AAAGAAAGAAAAGCGAGGAGACGAGAGAAATAGAGAGAGAGAGAGAGAGAGAGAGAGAGAGAGAGAGAGAGAGAGAGAGAGAGAGAAAAAGGTAAAAAAGCAAAAAAAAGGAAAAAAGAACGTTTAGAGCGAACGAGTCGCGTCGACAATAATTTTCATCGCTACCTCCATCTCCCACCCCACCTTTTGCCCCTCGGGCTCTGAAACCCTGAGGCGTTCGTTATTATTTCACTTACGTCCGTTATGGCGTAGCCATTAAGTTGTTAACGAGCGAAATCCTTGATAATTTTGATGATAAACCTAATTTCGAATGGGCGACTCTCGAAAAATGTGGAAAGACGAAGCAGGTGAGTGTTAATCACGTTTGTTGTGTGCGCGATAGAGAAGGAAGGCAAAATAGAGTGGCAATAAAAAAGAGAGAGAGAGAGAGAGAGAGGAAAAAAACGAACATTCGTTCGTCGAGCGTAAAGAATACACCAAAGTGTTTTTCTTCCTTGAAAGTTTAATGAATTGAATTCATTGGTCAGGAAAGAGAGAAACACATTTATCTTCTAAGAAGGTGAAAAAGGGGTTGGGAGGGAGAGTATAGGGGAACGGGATTTGCTGAAGTGGAAAAGGAAAAGAAGAAAAGAGGAAGGAGAAGGTTTAACGAATTACAATACCGACGAGTAAAAACGTCGAAGCTGTTCGACGAACGAGTTCTCCTCTTTCTCTTTCTATTTTTTCTGTATACTCGTGTGCGTTATGTATGTATCTATATGTGTCTGTCTATGTGTGTGTGTATGTGTGTGTGTGTGTGTTTTGCTCGATCGATTCTTTAAAAATCGTGAAAACTTTCTCGTTCATTATGGATTCGCCAACTTAGGGATTATCACGAGAGATAGTTTCTTTAAGGATCAGGATAAGGGATACGCGTGAACAGTATTGAAGGGTAATCTGTATTACAAAGAAAAAGAAAAAGAAAGAAAGAAAGAAAGAAAGATAAAAGAAAACGAAAAAGAAAAAAGAGGAAGAAAGAGAGCGGTTGAAAGAGCGGCGAGGATAATAGCTCGATATGAATAAAAATTGAGGGTGATCTTCGTCAGCACTTGCTGGAATCGTGATTAAACTTGTAAAGAGATGATGATCCGTCTTGAACAAGTGATGTCGGTATTAGAGTCAAATTAGAGATGCGTTATCTTGAATATTTGAATATAATTCTCGACGATGCCAAGCTTTGGGCACATACATTTATTATATAGAATTAATTACGCTTCCAACGATGCTTATTAATGTATTTGTATAATAAGATATTAATAATATATCGTTATATTAATTATTGTTTTATCTCTTTTTATTTTGTACATTTCGCGATGAAAATGTACGTTACGAGATTTATTAAAGTAATGAAACGTTATTTACAAAGTTGATATTATTTTTTCTTCTTTTTTTTTCTTTTTTCTATCTTTTTTTTTTGTTTTTTTTTGTTTTTTTTTTTGTTTTTCTTTTGTTTTTTTTTTTTTTTTTTTTTTTTTTTATGGAAACAGGAAAAAGAAAACGAAACTGTTAATCTGTAATTTCTATTCATTTTTCTTCCCTAATGAATCAATAACTTTTCCGAGGGGTTGACCACGGTTACTATCTAACGCCTTGTAAACTATGCATATGTATTTATACATAGATAATACAATATTGTTGCGATCTATTGTAATAACATTTCGTATCGAGTTTACTTAATTCTTCGCGTGATGCAAGCTGGGAAATTCGTAAAGCAATTTCTGCCATTGTGTAAGCCCTCTTCATTTTGCTATCTCGCATGAACGAGCTTATGCTTCTAACGACCTTACACAGCATATATCGAATCGACCATCGACGTTCCACAACATTTTGCATTACAAAGAGAAGAGATATCATTGTCGCGTAATATTTCGTTAACCGCAAAATCATCATAACGAAATGAGTTTCGTTAATGTAGTAGATTCAACGAATCGTTTATATTTCTTTCTTTATTAAGTTTTTTTTTCCTTTTTTTCTTTTTTTTTTTTTTTTTCTTCTTCTTCTCTGAGAACGAAATAGCAGCAATCATTATTATCTTTTGTGAAAGGTCAAAACGTTTAACTCTTCCTTTTTTCTTTTCTTTATCTTCTTGAACAAAACGAACGGCAATGAAATTTCGTTATAATAAAGTCATGAAATGTACTGATATATAGATTTTTCTAAGTACATTTTATTCTGTTTATTTCTTCTGTTTGTCTTAAATTGAATTTAAGAGAGCATGTACGCGTACCCGTCGCATATGGGAAACGTGAAAACTTAGATTGTGACGTAAATGTAAGACAGTACATATATAGTAAGCTTTATACACGCTTTCTACACACACACACACATATATATAAATACATATATGTATATATATATATTTGCACATATATATATATATATATATATACATATACACCTGGTATATATCTATAGGAATGAAAAAATGCACTCGGTCTGCTGTAATGAAACGATTTCACGCTCGCAAGATCGTACATCGACCCTTCTATATTTGTTTTGCGGATCGATCCGAATACCAGACGATTTTATCAGCCCCATCGCGTTTTGATTATTGAGCATATCGTCCTTGATAATTCGTAATCTAGCTGGGAGTATCGGCTTCGAAGCATTGTTCGAAATCTAATTATTCTTCATTATTCCTTTGCAAAGTGGATATCCGTCGACGAAAAGAAAGGATAAAGGGTTTCGTGACACGGAATGGAATGGACGATTGTTAAAAAAAAAAAATGGATATATGTATATGTAGACCTAGACGAGAATGAAATAATGTATGCAATAGAAAGAGAAGGAGAGAGAGAGAGAAAGAGAGAGAGAGAGAGAGAGAGAGAGAGAGAGAGAGAACATTTACTTTGTCTGTACATTAATATAACGAGAACATTAAGTATTCCTCTTTTTCCGACTATTTAAATCGTATGAGAGATTCTCGATAAAAAAGAAAAAAAAAAAAGAAATAAAAGAAAAAAAAATCCAAAGAGAAATATTATGAAAAAATTTCAAATAAATTATACGAGCGAATACGATAAGCGATTAAGAAGCTTATGGTTATATTGTACGTTAAGGATATATAAGATTGAATCTCTCGAATATCATAATGAAGCAAATAATCTGCAGGAACGATCATTATAAACAATTTAATCGTTTTTACTTTAATATTAAGATCTTTTTATGGGCTTGTTTTTTCTTTTTCCTTTTTTTTTCTAAAGGAATTAAG